GGTAACTTTTCCAGGGTTAAAGATTGGTTGACACAAAATTCAGCTACTTCGCGATCTTGTCCGATGGCCTAAAAATTCACGCTGATCAAGTAATTTTTGAAAAAGTGTTTCTTTTTAGTACTCTAGACTCTAAAGATTCTTGATAAAGTCGCAAATTTAGCCAATACTCAAGGGAGCTGCTCAAAAAGCTGCTTATGATTTCGTCAAAGTAGCGGTAAGTGATCTGTTGCTTTGTAAATAAGTGCTATAGAACTATAGAACTATGCTTTTTCGAGAAAGTCGATGTTGTGAGGTTCCAGAAAAGCTTTAGTGGATTGGCTGACATGAATTGAAGCATTATCCTGTTGAAAAATATAGTGTTTTCCTCGATTTTGTGCTAGGAAAGGAAGTAGTTGATCTGCGAGGACGTTCTGGTAATCGTTCGAGTTCATGCGACCTTGACGTCCTGTAGCGGCAACACAGAATTCGACAACAGACGCCCCATATGCCGTTCAGCGCGGACCGTGAGCTTTCGATGACGTCCCGGAGACTTTCTCTCACCATACTTGAAAGGATCCTTCAAGATATTTGAGACAACTTGGTGCGAGCGCTTTATTTTTTTTGCGATCTTCCGATTCGACAACTTTCTTCCTTTCAAAATCAAAATTTTCATCTGTTCGATCCTCGAAAGCGATTTTCCACGCCCCAGCTTCCTAAGAAATAAAAATTAGCAAAAAGTAAGCAAAAAGCATGGTTATTACAGATAGAAAATCAAAAAGAAACATAGTGGTCCTATCATTTTGCAAAACGTGTAAAATAAAGAAATGCTTCAAAAATTTTGCCTTTTAAAGGCAAAAGGTATTTGATTGAGATTCAAAAACCCATTGAATCAACGACTAATTTTCTGGTTGGCTATGACAATGTTTTTCTGGCCTCAACCGCCAAATCCACCACAACCGTCATTCAGTTCAGGTTGTCACAATATCGGTTCTTTGAATTTGAAATATTAAGCAAATCCAGACTTAGGTTAGGTCTTGGTAAGCTATTCTAACCGAATCTCTGAAACTTTAATAACTTAAATCGCTTGAATTTAACTCTGATTTTGTAAAATCTCTACAAATGCCAAATCCAATAGCCTACAATTGGCCTTGACCTAGAATTTCAACCTTGCTGTTGGATTTAGTCCAATTTGCCTTAACTCTTTGTTTTAGCTTGACTTATTTCCAGGGTATACTGTTCTAAAGTTTCTCAAAAATTAGTGCAAAGTGAGACAGAATAATCTACTGTAGACAAAAGAGAAGTGTCCGTTCGTCTGTCTGTCTATCCCTCTGTCTGTCCGTGCGCGCGTATGTACGTCGGTCTGACTGTTTGTCTGATACTCTGGATCTCGGCTCCACATGAACCGATTTCGATAACCTTTTTATAATCGATGGGGAATTAAAAATGAAATGGTACATACCTTTTGGTCAAAACAAGTTTTTGGTCAAAAACCCATGAAGAAGTCAGAAACTTTTAGACTTTTAAGTCATTTTCGTTTTTACGGTAAATCAAGCTCAATAAACTTTGCATTTAACTGCAAGATTTATTTGTAAATTTCACTCAAACAAATGCTGATCTTGGAGCCAAAAATTCAGCGTCTTTCATTGCAGATTTGAAGAAGTGGAGCAAACGCTCGGCTCATTGGGTTTCGACGCTCGGATCCAAGTCGCTAGAAGAGCAAGAGGCAGGAGACATTTCCTTCAACTCAACATGACCCCCTTCCAGGGTATACTGTTCTAAAGTTTCTCAAAAATTAGTGCAAAGTGAGACAGAATAATCTACTGTAGACAAAAGAGAAGTGTCCGTTCGTCTGTCTGTCCGTCCGCAGGTCTGTCCATCTGTCCGTGCGTCTCTCCGTCCGCCTGGCTGTTCGTCCGTCACAATCTGGATCTCGGCTCCACATGAACCGATTTCGATAAACTTTTTTTGATCGATGGAGAATTAAAAATGAAATGATACATACTTTTTGGTCAAAACCAGTTTTTGATAACCCGTAAAAAATCAGAAAAAGCACTTAGCCACGCCTCTTTTTGCCTTCAGCTGCCCATGGGCGAGGTGGTTAGCGTCCCGTCTACAAAACGTCTAAAGGGGGTGTCGGGTTCGATTCCCGTCCGGTCTCAACTTTTTTGCTTTAACTGGACTGCAGTTTTTGAATAAATAGGCACTAATAGAAAATTTAAACAACAGTCCATAGAATTCTTTCACATATCCCATCAGAATAAAGTACCCTGCATTTTTGCTATAAATTTTTGAGAAATGTGAATACTAATGGGATGAATCCTTTTCTCGTGTGTATTGTCATCGCAAAATGAGCTCGCATATTTTCAGATTTGGTCTCTCAATCGCCTTCAGTCTCAAAAAAAACGACGGTAATGCGAAGTTGGATTTCTTAGAACTTTGGTACAGCAATAAATACTCAAAACGAAGGTTTCTAGGGGTAATTTTGCACTTTCTTTCCAAAAAACATGACTTTAAGATGATTAGAGCACGGCATCAACAAGAAAAACAACGCTGAAAACGTCGTTTTTTCAAACCCTATTTTGCGCACCCCGAAATGTGTCAAAAGTTAAAATAATTGTAAAAAGCAAATACACCATCTTATAGAGCTTTTTTCAGGCCTTTTCTGTATTCCAGGTTCATTCAATGTGTTCACATTTTTTCCGAGGCCAAAGGACGGATTTGTTTACGTACCCGTGTCACAATATAAACGAGATGACAAAAATGTGATCGGCTTTAATCCACAGCAATGGTATCATGATTTCAGGTAGAGTCTCCTTTCAACTAATGTATTTTCTAAAATGAGGCAAGTTTAAAAACTACCATGCTATCGTGCTTCAAGTTTGTCTCTTCCAGTGCAAGCCAGGTGACCCAGCACAAATCCTGGTCTGACTCCTGGCCAGACAAGGACCTGAGCCTAAGCCGGAGGCCTGAGCTGGGCTAAACCAGAACATGAGTCTAAGCTTCAGGCCTGGCCTGGATCAAACCAGGACCTGAGCTTGAGCCTGAGGCAGGCCAAACTAGGACCTGAGCCTGAGCCCTGGCCTGGCTGTCTAACCGGAGCTCAAGACCTGAGCCCGTATGCTAAGCATCGGAAAACTTAACATAGGATTTCCGCCGGAAAATTTCCAAAGCAAAGGGCGCTGGAGAGTGCTAAAACGGTAGCTTTATGAACAAGACTTTCGATTTATTAAGCTTGAATTTTGTCTTGAAAAAGCATAGTTTGATAAGGGCAAAGGTTTTAGACAATTTTTCTTGCAAGTTCAGATTTTTTCTGTAGCTATTTGGGTTAAAAAATTTTATTTCACGGGAATTCAAAAGTATTTTTTTATAATCAGATCTACTCATGATCTCCTCATATCATTTCCGGCAGAGTTTCCGGCGAAAGCTTTCCCGGAGCGTAACATACACGTGTAAAATAAAGAAATTCTTCAAAAATTTTAGCTTTTAAAGTGAATTATTTGGCAAACGGTTTTTGTGCGTACTTTTGTATATAAAATTCGAATTTAAGCGTCGCTTTGCATTTTTAGTTATTTAACCGCAAAAATCGAGGGTTTTATCATTTTGCAAGGTACTGTAGATTTTAGCTTGATCTTTCTAGAATAATGCAGTACGATGAGTGCGAAGTTTCATCAGCGAATTTGCAAATTTTCGATGAGAAGTTGGGGTCTGGGACTTAGGCAGTGGTGCACAAGGGACATCGCAAAGGGATTCCACCGGTCGCAAAAATGTATCCATCGATGCAGGTAGGGATTTTTAATACAAAACAGGATGAAGTCAGCAACTAGCTAAATCGTTACTGTTCTTTACTGTATGCTGCTCAAAATTTGTACGATCTTGTTTGTTGATTTGTCGGTACTTTTCGGTCGTACTCCCGCCACCAAAATAAATGTTTCCTTGCTGAAGTGGCTAATCGGACAAGCAAGACGTTCGTTGACAAGATTCTGGAATTTCTCACCCGGATCGATGATTTTCTGGTTAATGACGTTAAAGACCTCTGCCCAAGTGACATCGGGCTAGACTAAATTCACCCAGACCGTTGTGAATAGAGGTCTTTAACGTCAAAAACCTCTGCCGAACTGACATCAGGCTAGACTAAATTCACGAATACACGCATTAATTCATGGGGGCGGCGCTATCAGCATAGTACAGTTTTTAGAATTCTGGAGTGGAGGAGGTATAACCGGAATGGGGAGGTGACGGGGTTATAACCGAAAAGTACCGATTTGTCTTAAGTCAGAGTTTCAATAAGATTTCTATCTGTATTACACTATTCAGTTCAGTTCGAAAAAAAGACAAATTCTCTGCTTTCATATGTCCATCAAATCGCCTAACGGCGAATTTATCTAGCTGAATATTTCGGGGCTGTCGTTGCGGAGGTAAAACCTGAGCCTGAGCCTATGCCATGGCGTAGTCGGGAGAGCGCTTGCCTACGGTCCAGACAAGCCGGGTTCCACCCACCGAAGTGCCTTAGTTTTGGGTTTTTTAATATTTTCTATTAAATGGCATAACTACAATATATTCTAAGGTTTTCTAAAGAACTTTAGCTTTATTGGTCAAAAAACGACCGAGAAAATGCTCGTACAGACAGACAGACACTGCTCTTTGATATATATGTCGTAGCCGATGAAGGATTTCAGCCGAAGAAGTCTCAGACTTCTTCGGCTAGCCGATTAAGTCTCAGATTCTCTAAAATGAAATCTTGAGTTACACCTGCTCTATGCAAAGCTGCAAATATTACTAGTTTTGATCTATTTTTGCATTCATCACCTCTGAATTTTTTTTTGCATTTTGAGGCTTTAAATTTCAAATTTTATTGAGTTAACAAACATTAATAAAAACAAACATTGACATAACAAACATTGACATAACAAACATTAACATACCAAAACAAACTGAAATTTACTTATTCTTGCAGGTGTTGCTCTTGTGGCATCGGTTGTTGCATTGCAGGTTGGCTTTCCAGCAGGCGCATCGCCCGTTCACACATCCATTCGTGAAGTTGCAATGCTTGTGACCTGAAAGAAAATTAAAACAGGACTATATAAAAGTTTACCTTGAGTCCCAGTCAGCGATTGTGATCCTACGGCGGCTCGAAAAGTTGATTCAACTTGTGGCACTTCTTCGAACGAAAGGAAGTTATTATTGGCGGGCTCAAATTGATTCCTTGTCAGTCTAATCTTTGAAAAATTAATTAGAAAGCAAGAATAACGCTCACTTTTGCTGTAGAATACCGTTGGTGGTGCCGATTTGATAGAATCCCTGGTTTTCTTCCATGACGACACCGAAGAGCGTTGAATGGCCGATTTTCGGACGATCCACTGCATCGATTGGCAAACGAACAGTTTGTCCGACCTCAACAGCACCAAATCTAAACACTAGCTTAAAAATTAATAAACCCAAAACTAAAATAAGTATCGAACCAACCTGTTTTTAGATTTTTCGAGCCTATTTTCGGCCTGTTTCTGTTGTTGAAGAGCCGCTCCATTACGATGATGCCAAATTTCTTTGTCGCGTTGAACAAAATCTAAAATAATTAAAAGTTAATTAGGAAATAAAAACTTTTAAAATACCTTCTTCTTTTTCTTTCGCAATAGCAATAGCATCTTCTTCGTCATCTGTCTCCGGAAAAAAATGTTGGATTGTCTGTGATTGCGCCCCGAATCGATTCACTCCAATCGATGATTTCCACATCTTCTTGATCAGGAACCTAAGCCCTAATTAAAAAAGAAGAAATAGAAAACGTACATCTTGTTCGTTGTCGTCGATGCTTCGCTCGGCATTCGATAGTGCAATTGTATCAAGAAACCCAAGTTGCATTTTTCGACCAAACTAAACAACGAAAATAAACAATAATACCAAAAAGCCAACCATTGCTTCGTATGGTGATCGCCCAATGCCCCGGTGATAACGTTGATTCTTCATTGATTGGACAATCGGAAGAATTCGAGCCCATCTTGTTGATTGTTGCTCCCTCAATTGCGTACATAGAATTTTCTAAAACAAAAGTATCAAAAAATTAGTGTTATTAAAAGTTTACCTCAACATCCTGATTTGCCCTTCCAACAGATCCTTGACTCTGCGAGTGTCGAGGACGACCATGCACTATTCGACAGCTTGGCCACCGGTTCACGAGTTCTTTGACCTAAAAGCAAACAAAATAAAGCGTCATAAAGAAATTCGATAGGGCACAAAAGGAAAAGCTTACCAATCTTTTGGCGAACTCCTTTCCGTTGTCGGACTGAAGTATTTTTGGAGCTCCAAACGTTCCGAATATTTCCATTAGATGATCGACAACTTCAAATTGTGTTTTCCTTTGCAATGCCCGCAAAACGACGAACTTTGTGAAATGATCCTGGTAGACCATCAAAAACTTGAATTCTCCATCGGGAACGGATTGAAGATCGATTAGATCCACCTGGCATCTCTCGTTGAAATCCTTTGTAACAATTGGCTTCACGACTATTCCTTTCTTTGGTGTTCCTTTTTTGAGCTCGCATTCTGGGCACAACTTCACAAAAATTTCGATTACTTCCTTTGAGATCCCATGATAATCTCGTAGTCCTTGCCACATTATATCTCGTCCGGCGTGCCCAAGTCGTTGGTGAGTGGTCGTTAACAGGCCAAAGAGCTCCTCTGTCTTAACGACTTTCTTCGGTTTGTCCAAATCGCCTTTGGTCCCATGATTGTAAAGCACCTCTTGATTGAATTCGTATCGAAGAGAGAATCGCATCACAAGCTTTTGTGTTCTTTTCGATGGCTTGAAGTCTTCATTCCGCAATTGTTGGAGAACCGTGACGATTTCCGCGTATTTCTCGCTTGAAAGAATTAAACTTCCCTTTTGATTTGATTGAAAGTGAGAAAACTGCCGGTCGAATCCTTTCTCCATTCCTAAAAAACAAAAATTAGTGTAGTATAAACAAAAATGCACAGTAACAAAAAGAAAAAATAGGAATGAAATAAGGGGTTATGTTCAATTATAAACAGATTAGTGGTAAACAAGTTTTATCGATGATCCAACAAAGGGGCAAATTGACTTACAAAAACAAACAAGTCTATTTCAAAAAAATGACGAATCAGATAGAAAATGATGAAAAGGGTCCTTTTATAGCCTTTGGTTACAGTATGATAAAATGCGCACTCTTTAGAATGCGTTTTTAGCTTTTAAGCGCCTTTTAGAGAGCTTGAGTTTGTGGTATTGACTTGAGTCAATACATAACTCAAGATTTCATCTTTGAGACTTAATCGGCTAGCCGAAGAAGTCTGAGACTTCTTCGGCTGAAATCCTTCATCGGCTACGACATATAGAAGATTTTGTACTATATTTTATTGGGGCTTACAATTAGATCCAATAAACATGCTCCTTTCCAGCTTTCATGTCTTTATTGGGTAGTATGAAATGGCGGCATCTTCAAATGAACTTTTAAAAAAACCAAACCATAACTTTTTCATAACCAAACCAAACCAAACCATAACAAACCAACTAAACCATAACTTTTTCTGAATTATTTTTCTAATCACAATTGGATTTTTGTTGATTATCCGCTAAAATTTCATTCCGATTTGATGCAGTTTTTGAGGAAGGAAAAGTGATGTGTTAAAGCTCTGTCACTTAACGTGACGATGTTTATAACAAAAATACTCGACTAGCATCCAGTTAAAACGGCTATTTTATAAGATAATAAATCAAGTTCAATAATAAAAATTAAAGATTGAAAAAAAATGTGTCTAAGTCCTGGAATAGTATCCTCAAAAATCTCTTATCTTCTTATTCGAAGTTCTTATTCGAAAATTTTTGGTTAACGAAAATTTGAATTTTATGTTTATTTTGGTTAACAAATTTGTACAAACATATTGGCTTAAACGGTTTTTGAATCTAGCAAGTTGCTGCAAATCTTTAGTCGTTTGGATTTTAGGCGAAAATTAGCCAAAAATCTTCCACAATCGACATCCTCTCTCATTTCTCAAAAACTTCGCATCAAATCGGGATGAAATTTTGGTTAGAATCAGCAAAACTTCAATTGTTATTAAAAATTTGAGAAAAAGTTATGGTTTAGTTTTTCTTCAAATTTTTTTTTTGAAGTGGCCGTCATACCATATTACCGAATATTATTTTAAGCCTTTTGGAAGTCTTTAAGGAGTTGAGCATTTTGCTATTTGAGAGTTGAGAAGCCATTTCATACGTCCCAACCCAATAGTTATAGACTAAAGAAGCTTAATGACGTCAAAAGTCGGATGAAAATCCAACACCCATTTCTTAGCTCTTGAGAATTTGGGTATACCGTAGCTGGAGTTTTGGAATTTTGGAGGAACGTTGAAAAATAGAAGAAACGGCTTTTCTATTAGAATGTTCTTTTATTGTATTTCTGATGCTAAATTTTAAAGCACCTAGCCAAGCCGCAGCAATGCGCTCTGATGTATGCTAACATCACGGTTCGAATTTATTTTAAATTAAGAGTTTTAAGTACAAGTTAACTTTATAGAGGTGTGCCACTTCACCTCCATTGGGCGACAAAACTAAAGTTAATTTTATAGATGTGTGATGACAGGATTCTTGGGTGCAGTTTGTTTTATTCAATAGAAATATGATAATTTCTTTTAGCTCAAGCTTAACCTTTTTGAAACGAAGATGGAAAGGGTTGAGTCACTCATTTCAGAGCTCCCCTACAATTGATTGGACTGGAAAAATTGAAAAATGACTCTAAATAGTTGCATTAATCAAATGTTACGGGTATTTTCATTTCAGGCAATTTGGTAAATAAGCATCAAAGAATTTGTACAAATTTAGTAAGAACTATTATCGCTCTGAGCCGACACGAGAAACAGAAGTAAAGATCGAAACTGTTTAAATGCTAGAAATCTTTCAACAATCTTGGTGCTTGCATTTAATTTTATCCTTTGGTGATTAAGTTTTTCATTGGTTGAACAAGTGGTTCAAAAAGCCGAGTATGAATTGATATGAGCCGTGAATCGACCTATTTTCAACTCACGGATTATACTTGGTCAAGAGCTTTCTCTGGTAATCGACTGATTGTTGAAGCACCAAATCAAAAGATGAGAGAAGAAGGAGAGAACATTCATTTGAAGAGATATTTCTATTGATCTTCTTTTTCATTGTGTCTTCACTGCAACAGATTGAGATTCAGAAATCCTTTGCATCAACGACTAATTTTCTGGTTGGCTATGACAATGCAACTCCTCAATGCAACTCCACTTTATCTCAGGTCCTGAATCAAGTATATATGTTGTGTCCGATTTGGATTGAACTCACCGCGGATATCCGATTTGGATTGAAATCCAAATCGGATATCTGGTTTTGATTGAAACGTTATTTCACAGTAGGGTTTCATGTTTTTAAAAGGTTTTTAATCATTTTCTAGAAATTTTATAGAGGTTTAACTCTGGCAACCTAGAACAGTCCGTTAGCACCACCTTTGCCCAAAAAAGTAGTTTATTTACGCGTTTTGACGTGCTTCTGTATTTTTTTTATGTCTTTATGCTGTTTACCTTATTTTACGTTGTTGTTTTACAGATTCCAGGAATTTGGGCATAGCGACGCCCAAAACGACATTGTTAACAATCTTCAATCCTCACAAACCTCTCAATCCACCGTATCCCATAATAAATTGATCGAGGTACCCAATTTTGCTGACTCTTTTCTTGTTGGCGATCCACGTAAATAGGTAGACGCCTCGAAAAAAGTGAACATTTCAACAATTAGTGGCAAATTACCTACAAATCGCCAGAGAATACAAGCGATAACGGTGATCGTTGTGAAGAGAATGTCCCAGATGTGCCTTTTTGAAAATGTCGACATTCCAAGAAAAACGAAAATAATTGCTTCGGAACTGAAAAGGAAATAGATTTAAAGAAATAGATCTTTAAATTTCAAACCTACCTTGATGTGATCGTTTTCAGAAAATATCTAACAGTGGTCAAGGATTGCTCATTGAGATTTCCCGCAATGTAGGGCTTCATGAGGAGACCACAAGTGACAATGCTAAAGTTTTTCAAATTATATGCTATAATTCTTGACTTGAGCTGATCTTGTATAGCTTTTAGTCTGGTTTTAAATTTGCAAACCTAGGATTCCAGAACTAGAACTTACGCTAGAATCCCAGACAAGTGAACACTTTCAGCTATGAGATAGGATAAGAATGGGAGCACCAAGCAGAGAAGTGGTTGAACGACTGGCACGATAACTGAGAGTCTAAACAAAACAATACGCAAAAACTGAATAATTTGCCAGGAACCACAATTTGACACTAATATCTCTAGCCAGCGGTGAAGATCAAAGTAAGAAATACTTTCAATAGACAAGGAATCAATAGTACTTTATTCGAAACACGATATTTTGAGGGTGAAACATGCATCGATCATTTGATCAGCTGATTTGTTTATATCATTTTAATGATCTAAAACAACTCCAAACTGAAGTCGTTGCTTGATTTCAAGCCTTCAAGATAATTCGTTTCAAAATGTATTAAGCTTGTTCGTCAGCGGTTCAGGAGTTTTACGGACTTGTTTCTTGTTAAGTTGTCTTGTTCGGAATTGTATTGTTTTTGCTAAATTTTTGCTACTTTGTATTGGGTTGGGGAGAATGAGTCGGCGCCCAACTTTAAAGGGACTTTTTGCACACATAAAGCCTTCTTTAAACATACGTTTGGTTTCATCAAAAGGATCCACTATTTCTCTACAAAATCACTTTTGAGAGATTCCACAAAGCTTTTCTTTCGTGGAGTTTATGAACTTCCAAACGCAGCTGGTTAAAATGGCAAAGAGTCCGACTCATCATTTGAACAGTTTCTTTCACATAAACCTTCTTTGGTGTTTATATAAAAAAGATAGAGCACATTCAATTACTTAAGTTGCCAAATTTGCAGGAAGATCCCACCAATGGTTTTTTCTAGATCACAGTTTGTAGTTTTTGTGAAAAAATGGCTTTTTCTTGAGCGGAGGGGCTGTTTGAATTTTCTTTTAAATGTCATTTTGTAGAGAATTAGTTAACCATTCTACTGATATCAAACGCATATTATTTGACGAAGTCGAATAGAAGTTTTAGACATTTTTTTGATTTTCGGCGCCGACTCATTCTCCCCAACCCAATACTTACAGGGCCATTTTTATAACATTTTTACACTTATATTCCAATTTTTAGCCTGATCGATGTAAAATGTAATTATAACAAACTTTAAGCAATCTGACATATTGTCGATCTAATTTGCCTTCATATAAGGCGTAACACAGATTATGAGCCACCCTGTACTTGAATCAAGGTTAGCGCTTCCTTTTTTTCTTTACTTGGTCATAATCGCCGTGATGCAGACGAAGACAAGTCCGATCAACACTCCACCCATAGAAACCATCAAGAAAGACAGAAAAGCCATGAGAAAATCAGTAATCATAATGTTCGCAGTCCCGATTTTCACCATGCCAATGAAAGAATGATAGAGCACCTGAATAAGTTTTACAACAATAATTTTTAGAATCAATTTAGGCACTTACAATTGTTACCGCATCGTTCAGCAGCGATTCCCCGAAGACACAAATGTAGAGCAACTAAGTTTGCATTGAAAAATGAATTAGAAATTTTGTGTTACTTGATTGACATGAATTTCTTCAAAAACGGAAAGCACAGCAACTGGATCAACGGCTGAAATGAGAGTCGAGAAAAGCATTATATCGAGAATTCCCAAATGGTGATCATACCAACTCTCGAACATCCAAATTGTGCCACCTAAACATAAATATTCTAATTTTTTAAAATTGATTTACCTATCGTTAAAATGTTGAATATTGTTCCAGCTACAGCATACAGAATTATTGTCCAAAAATTTGAGAAAAATGCCGAATTTGGTAGGAAATAACCGGCATCGAGAGCGATTGGTGGGAGGAGGTAGAGAAAGAAAAGATCTAAATAAAAGATTAACAATAAAACTTTATTTTACAGGTCAATTTTAACCCTACATTGCCAAATCATTGCATAAAGTTAGCTAGGCATCATTTCATTCAGCTTTGAAACAAAAAAAAATGAACCCTTACGTCATAGTCGTCTTTGTTTACCCAGATTGTCTATGAATTAACAAAAATGGTAAAGAATTGAACAAAATGAACCAAATGAACCAAATGATTCTATTTAAAACGTAGAATTAAACCCTTTTAAACCAAATTTATGTCAAAATGTAGGACGATTCATTGAATCGCTTGACCCAGATCAGAAGGCAGCTCTTGGCCTAACTTCTGGACTTGTTTAGTCCGCCTTGTCTGGCTTTGCACTGCTTGACTGATTCACAAATAGTACTTGGATCCATCAGAAACAAGGCTGACCTGACTTCTGCTTTTCTTTACTTGACCTAACCTGTTTTACAAGGCCTAGAGCCTGGTTGACATAAAAACACAGGTTTGAATTAGACATGGACACTACAAACTACAAGATCAGACTACAAACGCTTGTAGAAACACGTAAAGGAACTATTTTTTAAAACTGTTTTTATCAAAAAATCGAGCTAACTTTGGGCTTTTGAATGACACCAAGATCAGACCAATTCATCATCTCTGCTCCGATAATATGCTATTTACAGGGTGTCCACAATAGCCCAAATTCTTTAAAACAGTTTCTATAACACTTGTTTTATTATAATGCACTTTTTAATTTTGTTTTATCATACTTTCTAATGTATTTTTGTTTTAAAAAACAATTTTGCTTTTCAGGGTTTGCCGTTCGCCAGCAATGGATCGAGAAAAGATGAGGATCACAGTGATCGAGCTATTCAAACGTGGGATTAATCCAGTTAACATTGTTCAAACGACCAGCTACAAGCGAAGCACGGTCTACGATGCAATTAAACGCTACAAGGAACTTGGAAACACGCCTCAACGACAGGAAAGAGGTCATAAACCTGCTGTGATGCCCGAGAATGTAAACAAAATCCAATGGAAAATCCGACGAAACGCGACTCATTCGATTCGAAAGATGATTTTGGAGTTGAAAATCAGCAAAAATAGTGTCTGGAGAATTGTCAGAAAGAAATTGAAGTCAAATTCTTATCGAATTTCTCGTGTAAACTTTTTGAACGATGCAATGATTTCAGCGCAGGGAGGATGAATGGCTTGATCTTGGTGTCATTCAAAAGCCCAGATTTGGCTCGATTTTTTAGTAAAAACAGTTTTTAAAAATAGGTCCTCTACGCGTTTCTACAAGAGTTTGTAGTCCGATCTTGTAGTTTGTTGTGCCCATGTCTAATTCAAACCTGTGTTTTTATGTTCCAACCGGGCTCTGGGCCTTGTAAAACAGGTTAGGTCAGGTAAAGAAAGGCAGAAGTCAGGTCAGCCTTGTTTCTGACGGATCCAAGTAGTTAAAAAATTGAGTTATTGTGGACACCCTGTAAATAGCATGTTATCGGAGTAGAGATGATGAATTGGCTTGATCTTGGTGTCATTCAAAAGCCCAGATTTGGCTCGATTTTTTGGTAAAAGCAGTTTGTAAAAATAGCTATTCTACACATTTCTACAAGCATTTGTAGTTTTCTTGTTTTTGTAGTGATCTTGTAGTTTGTAGTGGCCATATCTAATTTGAATGTAAAAAAAACCCAAACCTGGATGCATATATACATCAATTGTTATTAAAAATTTGAGAAAAAGTTATGGTTTAGTTTTTTTAAAGTTCATTTGAAGACGCCGCCATTTCATAGTACCCAATATTATTATGAAAGAATGATAGAGCACCTAAATAAGTTTCACAACAATAATTTTTAGAATCAATTTAGGCACTTACAATTGTTACCGCATCGTTCAGCAGCGATTCCCCGAAGACACAAATGTAGAGCAACTAAGTTTGCATTGAAAAATGAATTAGAAATTTTCTTCTGCATTAGGCTTTCGTTGTTGTACTTTAGACGCAGTGGAATCTCCAATTCGTGATAAGAGTCGTTTTTTGAGACGCTGAAAACAAAGTAATCTAATCATATTGTTGTCAATGTCGCATGCTTTGTGTATTCACTTCCCTGATAACGTTTAATGAAAAGATCTCGATAGTATTTTGTCACAAAAAGGACGATGAGACAATTGCCGGAGGAATGGAAAGTGGTTATCATTAGTGCATAGGAAAAAATGTTATCTGAAAAGGAATCGTATGAATAGGGGTTTTAAATACTTACTTGTTTGCTTATCTTGAGTAATTATTGAGAAAGTCATTATAATCCAAGGTAGAACACATATTGTCGCCAAAAAGATCATCTAGACGTTTTCATGGCACTTTTTTTACAATTGGTTTAAGTGATATTTTAACTAGATAATTTTGTTAAGTCAAGATCGAGTTTTCACATGAGCCTTGGCCCATCTGATAGACTTTTCATCGGGGATTCTGCTTAGTTCTACCGGAACGCTTCTGTCACACGAGATATTTGGCATACAAAATTCGGCCTTTTTCGGCTGATTTACAAGCTTTACTCATTACTTGTTACATTCTATTGGCATTACTTTTCAGGATCCTTAAAAGACATCCTTTGGTGATCAAGTTTTTCATTGGTTGAAAAAGTGGTTCGAAAAGCCGAGTATGAATTGATATGAGCCGTGAATCAACCTATTTTCAACTTACGGATTATGCTTGGTCAAGAACTTTCTCTGGTAATCGACTTATTGTTAAAGCACCAAATCGAAAGGTAACAGAAAAACGAGAGAACATTCATTTGAAGAGATGTTTCTATTGATCCTCTTTTTCATTGTGGCTTTGCTGCAATAGATTGAGATTCAAAAATCCGTTGAATCAACGGCTAATTTTCTGGTTGGCCATGATAATGTAACTCCTCAACCGCCAAATCCACCACAACCGTCGTTGAGTTCAGATTGTCACAATGGTCGGTTCTTTGAATTTGAAATATTAAGCAAATCTAGACTTAGGGTAGGTCTTGGTAAGCCATTCTAACCGAATCTCTGAAACTTTTAATCATTTAAACCGTTTGAATTTAACTCTGATTTTGTAAAATTTCTACAAAAGCCAAATCCAATAGCTTACAAATGGCCTTGACCTAGAGTTTCAAACTTGCTGTTGGATTCAGTCCAATTCGCCTTAACTCTTTGCTTTAGCTCCACTTATTTCCAGGGTGTGCTGTTCTACAATTTCTAAAAAATTAGTGCAAAGTGAGACAGAATAATCTACTATGTATAAAAGAGAAGTGTCCGTTCGTCTGTCCGTCCGTCACACTCTGGATCTCGGCTCCACATTGACCGATTTCGATAAACTTTTTTTGATCGATAGACAATTAGAAATGAATAGGTACATACTTTTTTATTATGTTATTTTCAAGCCAGCTCAAGTTTTCAAAGATGCGTATTGATGTCTGATGGGGTATAGTGGTACAGGTCAATTTTTCTCATCTACTGTATATTGTAGTAATGAAAAATGGCCTACGTCATTCGTTAGAGCTAAATCTGTAATTATTTTTTGACAAGTCGTTGAATAAAACTGAATTCGAAATCTTTGTTCATAACTTTTTTTTCCATTCATAATTAAATGCAAGCACCAAGATGAAGGTGGGAAAAGCTAAGGTTAGAAAAAGATTCAGATTTGAATTCTTTAGAAATATCTTTATCTTAAAGTTGTTTAGATCGGATTTGCTGTATTTCTCGTTCTCGACGCGGTCTTTCTGATCTTTTTGGGTGCTTCGATTTTCCTTGGAACTCAAGATGCCCGTTTGCCATTGGTAAGTAAAAATATTTTAAGTTTCATCTTTTGATTCAAATTTCTTAGATGTATTTCGGGAATCATCTTCGGCCTCTCACTCCGAATCAGGCTCCTCGGCATCCTCTCACTTATCACACTTTAAGGTTTATCAAGATTAAGCTTTAAGATTTCCTTTCCATTGACCTGTTGTTTTTCCAGTCTTGGAACTTTTCCTAGGTTGGGGATCTGCTTGCTCTAAAAATTTGTTGAGGAACAGCCCTGACCCCAAATAAAGTGAAGATTTCAAATTGAATTCCGAGAAGACATTGCATTTTGTTCTAGAACTTGAAAATACTCAAACTGAAAATACCCCAGCACTAGTAGAGCCAATATTAGTCTAAAATCACTAATAAATCAACGCTTCCAGATCCTTCAGCGCCTTTTCCTCACGTTCTCAATTCTCACCTATTACATCCTCTATGTGACCGATAATGATCAGTGAGTTTTTGGTTTAGCTTAATCTTTATTTGTTTTTGCGCGCTTGAGCATCAAATTAAAGTAGAGAGGATGTGTGATTTTTGAGATATAACACATATTTTTGGCATTAACCAGCGCTTAGAAGTGAAGTGGCACACATCTATAAAAATAACTTGTACTTAAAACTTTGGTTTTCCTAGACATTTTATTTAAACTATTGCATTTTTCATTTTCTAAGCCTAAACCTAAGCATATTTTATAGTTTAACAGTACTGATTGCTAAGAATGTCCAACACTAGTAAATTTGCCCCATCCTTCTTCGCACCTCCATCTCAAGCACTCTCAACGACATCGGTTCATCATACAAGTTCAGGAAGATGACATCAGCTTGGGCAGCTAGCGTCAAGTGGTTTTCTCCCAAAACTTAACCAATCTAAAGAGTTTTATGTACCTATCGTATTCTAATAAAGATTAGACTAAAGATTCTTACACTATAAAGATTATTTACTATAAAGCAAAATCTAAACACTATTTAGCAAGAGACAAGAGTAGATAAATTCGTACCTTGACGTTAGCATACATCAGAGCGGCCTCCATTGCTGCGGCTTGACTAGGTGCCTTAAAATTTATCATCATAAATACAATAAAAGAACATTCTAATAGAAGAGCCGGTTCTTCTATTTTTCAACGTTCCTCCAAAATTCCAAAACTCTAGCTACGGTATACCCAAATTCTCAAGAGCTAAGAAATGGGTGTTGGATTTTCATCCGACTTTTGACGTCATTAAGCTTCTTTAGTCTATAACTATTGGGTTGGGACGTATGAAATGGCTTCTCAACTCT